AGGAATGCACTATCATTTAATTATTTTTCAAGTTTAAGTGGGCTTTATGGAATGAGATCATGCCTCAAGCTTCTCAGTTGAGGTAATTTTGTTTATAATGGGAAGGAAAAAAGGATCGCATGTGTCTAAGTCATTTAGCATTGCTTCTTCTCAGATGCAATGTACATTTTATACTTCCCATTGAATTTCAGGGCTTCATCTTTTTATAGCACGATGGGCAGAAGCACCACTTAGGCAGTAGCCGGGAGACTGATGATTTAGTAGGTCACGTCTTCTGTTCTGTACTAATAAATATCAGTGATGTCGTAGTCTGCCATGACAGAGGTCAGTGCCATTAAATCTGTAAAATCCATGCAGCTTTGGTAAGAAAAGTCTCAGGGAAGAAGTTGTTTGTTTTGATCTTCTGATATGATGTTGTCTTACCTGGGAAGCCTGGCAAAATGATTCTTGTCCTGCTGTAACTTGTCCTAATTTCACATAAGTTGGTTCTCTAGATGAATGAAAAGGAATTGAAAAGCCATGATGGCTTTTTGCTGCAATGGCTGTCAGTATAGGCTGAAGAAATAAACCAAAACTGGCTCCAGCTGCAAGTAGCCTCCAACTTCAGTGACCTGAGCTTTATTTTGGCCCATGGTAGAGCTGGGATCAGGTAAAAATACAAATACATCTTTGCTTTTTCTAGTGTTTCGAGATGCAAGGGCTTGGAATTCAGTCTTTTCCTATGTATGTTGCAAGTAAACAACATGAGAGGGAGACTGCTTCTGAAGCAGGTATCAGAAGTATTAAATAAAACATTAAATAGGTCACAGGATGAAGAAAATTGGATGTAGTTTATTGGGAGAAATAGAGGTAGTGTAGATAACATGAGCTAGAGGAGATTTATAATGAAGAAGCCACAGTTCAATCCTATACATGCAGATAAATCATGAACCTGAGCAGACAAAACCACTGTTTTCATTTATTACATCGATATCCTTAGGGTTTTGTACCATGGAAATTGTATCTGCAGTCCCTTTTACTTACCACTATAATGAAACTTACTATGCAACTGAATAAAGGAGCAGTGTAAAGAAAGCAAATGTATATATTACCTAAAATGTACTGATCTAGTCTGAAACGTGTAAATTAATTACACATATTTTGTAGTCTTTGAGGTGTTTTTAATGTTTTTTTTGTCACTATGTACAGCCCTTTCTTAAATGTGGAATATTCCTGTCTGCCTTTTCACATCTACCAGCTGTCATATGCCCTTCCCAGTCAGTCCCTGCCGGGGACTGAGACAGGATAGTAATGCTTGTCAGGGCATCAGCAAAGGTAAAAGAAGCTCCTGAGGGGCTCGTGACTGTAGGGTAAGCCCACTGCAGTGCATCCCCAAGGATCTGGATTGGAGTTTCTGCAGTGCCCAAAGATGAGTTGGCAGGGAT